ATATATAGTGAAGTTGACCCGGATGCGTTTCACGTTATGCGCCTCGCGCCGGCGATAACCTTGTGTCGCTCACAGAAGCGCTACGGCTTAATTCCAATGGGAGTTGAACCGACCCGACTGTGGCAACATGGCCGCCTGAAGGAGACATCTACATGTGGCAACCCAAGGCCGTTTATTGTGTTCCTCTGTCATCATTCATATTCTAACGTTCTCGCCTTTCTTCCTTTTTCGCCCTTTATTTCTTAGTGTTGCTTCAGATCTTCCCTCATTATCACGATTAGCCCTGGTCATCGTTCTTGTATTCTCCGTATATTCTTGCCATATTTTCATCTTCATATAACATGACCTTGAATAATGAATTCACCACCTTCGATTAAGGGAGCAATATGCGCGGCAGGCTTGGCACTTGGCTTTTTTACAGACGGATACAACCTCCTGGTTTACTTTTTGTCTTAATGCTTTGCCCAATACCAAGGTCCTTCATTTTTATGTTTTTTAATTGCACAATGCGTTTACCTTTTTTTTAATTATGTTCGAATTCCACTTTTTGTAATGTACTCAGTCTGATTTAATTGTTTTAGCCGCAGATGGAAGTTTTTTGTGCTTTTATTCGCATCGGATTTGCGCAGGATTTGACGAGTTGATTAATACCCGCCGCACCGATCAAACTTCTCCGTGTACACAAAACACATACCAAGCGACTATCATCTTGTATTACATAAATACATACCACAACGATGTGTTTTTACATTACCAATGGTCCTTGAAATTCGAAACGCTCTAACGAGACTTGACACGGTCTGTGGACAAAATGGCTTCAGTATAGAGAACCATATCTGTTTCTCTCATTTCAAAGAAAAACTCTCGAGACATGTTACTAATCATTTCCGTTCTCCGTCTCATTTATGATAACGTCTAAGCAGGAATTGGTCTTCAATTGAGGTAGAGAGTTGTTGTACTCGAGGTGTTCGTTTTCGATGAGCGAAGTGTACCTCTTCTTACTTTTGCCCTTTCCTTACTTTGCCTGATCTCTCTCTTCAATGTTCGGTTGTTTTGTTAGCTTACGCGATGAAATCGTTTCGGCTGGTAGCTGTTTTGTGTTGTGTTTTGTTGTTGTGCCACTGAAGGAGTTTGTTGATAATTCCCTTTTTTTATTCTATTGTATTTCATCGTTTGTTTTTCTGTTTACTGTTTAGTGGCTGGCACTACAGCATTGTTAAGGTGGTTCTTCCGCTCGTGCTGCCGACACTTGTCGCTCCGGTAGAAGGTGGCCTCGCAGAACTGGCATTTGTATGGTTTGTAGCCGTTGTGTTTGTTCATGTGCGCGCGCAGGTGGCTATCGGTCGTCAGCTGCTTGTCGCACACCAGACATGGATATCTGAAACGTGTGTTGCAGTATAATGCAACAAGCAAATAGTCAATTATATATGCGGTCACAATACGCGTACATTGAATAGGACGTTCTTTGCTTCTTGAGCGACTCAATATTTTTTTATATCAAGTGTGCCGTAATTAGCCAATAGAAAAGCCCATCAGCTATAGTAAGCTAATCACGGGCCTTTCTAACCACTGTTATCAGCCATAATTACAACCATACACAAATATATAGTCAATGGCATTGACTTGATTTTTCACTTACCGAATTCCCTCATGGATGATATTCCGATGCCTTTTCAAGTTGCCCTTCCGATTGAAGCTGGCTCCGCACACATCGCAGTTGAACGGCTTGTCGCCCGAATGCGACGCCTCGTGCTGCTTCAGGTGCCAGTCCTTGTTTGTTGTGTAGTCGCACTGTGAACACCGGTAGCGGCCATCCTTAAGCGGCGCCCTGGGCGGTCCTGGCGGTTGGGGGGCGGGTGGAGCAGCCCCGCTAGAGGGGCCCATTGCGCCCGCGCCCGGCACCGATACACCGCCACCATATGGCACCACGGTCCCAGACGATGCGGCGGCCGCCGCAGCAGCAGCGGCCTGAACCGCAGCCGCCGATGAGGCCGCTGTACTTTGTGCCTGCCCCGAATTCTGCCCAGAAGTTACGCCCTGTAGCAATTCCATGCTCTTGGTCGCCGCCGCGAGCTGAAACGACAACGGTAACGTTATCAACGACAGCAGCGGCAGTACGTAGATGTATTAGAATTATCAGAATAGATACGCAAATGAGCAATATTGTCGTAGGTATTGTCGTAGGTTATAGTTCAGCTCTGAGTTAACGAAGGGTTAGCGTGCCCAGGTTCTCAGTTGATACGAGCTAGCGCGCATGACACACTTGTTTTAAAGGCTTGCTTTGTTTAGGATATCGTACAAGTTATATAGAAAAATAGTGGGAAGATCATATCCGCGTTAGTTGTGTGTTGCGCAACATATGTCCTAGCAAAGAAATATTTCACTAGACGGTTCACTGCAAGGTCTGAAAGTCCTAACCCTGACGGGTATTTTGCTGTATTCGAATCACTGCAATTCTGAGTGCTCATATTTTTATTTACTGACTGAAATCATTCGTAATTAAATTATGCTACTGGAAAAATTAGTAAATTTTATCTCACACCTGCTAACAACCTGTGACTGCCATACCAGAGTTTTATAAAACATGTGAATCTATGAGTGTGTAGAAAGCCGCAAATGGTATCGTCATCAAGATCCTGTTTACAGACGTCTAAGTCCCTAGCCTTTTTTAAACTCTCTGTTCTTCGTAAACAGAACATGTTCTATATCGTGTCAGATCCCCTATCATGCGCCCCATACCGAAAGCACGCAATTATTTCCCGAACAGAGACGCTGATTACATACGTAAGTGTGCTTATTATCTGTAAACAACCTTGAAATTACTAACCTTGAAGTCGCCAGAGGCCGCTGTGAGCTTGAAGTCGTCGTTGGACGCGGGAGCGTTATTAGGAGGGTGAGCTGCAAGGGGCGGAGGTGGGGCCTGAGTCGCCCCGGGAGGAAGGGGTCGGAAAGGAGATACTGGGGGACACGTGGGAGCGTGGCCGATCAGCGGCTGGGCGGCCTTCAGCGGCAAGATATTAAGTTCCTGGCCTCCTGCCAGGCTCTGCACGGAGCACGCCATCGACTGCGGGGTTGTGGCCGATGGCAGCAGACGCATCTGCAAAAAGAACATATGAACCAATACCATGATGACAACGAGCGAATAACGACAGGTTAGGCCGAAATTGACGGGGAGAACCGAAAAGGAGAAAGCTCATTAGGCATTGTCACGCGTCGATGACTAACCGATGGTTCGGTCTTCAGATTCATAAGGGAGTAAGAGGAGTTTTATGTATTTCGATGTCTGATATAGCTCTGTTGATTTGAGTGCATATCATGGCTTCCGTTTGAGGATGTCATATCACAAGTAATGTCAGATGTGTTTTCATGTCTTGCGCGTGTTTGATCCAACATGGTTCTTCTAAGACCTGTAATATTCTCTGTGGTTCGTCTTTTTCGCTGGTGGTACATGTTGCATACAGGACAAGTTATGATATCTCCGTCCAACGTACCACAATGCAGACCGTTGCAATTTAGTTAATTTCTATATTTCAAATTAGCTGGTTTGGCAATCACAATAGATGACAAAGTTGATGATTCGTTTTACACAGAAGCTGTCACAAGAAACTAAATTGACTCTCTGAATCACTGACTAGATTTTCCATAGGCATTGTTTATCCTCTTCGATGAACTGTATACCGTACGTGTTTGCTCGGATGACAACGGCTGCATATACCGCTTTAAGACTTTTTAGTTACATTTATTTAAGGTGTAGTGTAAATCTCACACTAGTACCAACAGTGTAAGACGTCGCTTTATATCTAAAATCGAGGCGATTATGTTACGATGGACCAGTCGTTCTATTCATTTAGGTAGTCAAAATAAAGTTAAAAAAATGTGCAACAAAACATACTACGAAGCAGACGAAAAACAAGCGGTCCTCTTTTGGTTGGCAGGGCTTAACGGCTGTCAAGATGAGACAATACTCTTTCTTCACGTTATAACTGCAAGCAATCCCATCAAAAGGTTCATAAGCCTGACCATATTTACCGTATTTATCAGCTGTGATTGTCGCTTCACTCGATCGCATAACGTAGCCGTTCTAAGCAAAGAGTGAAACCTCTTCAAGGGGGTGGAGGTGAAGATCACGCCAAACCCGTGGTGAACTTGCACAGTTACCGCAAATGCAAACCATATTTCAATAGAAGAGACACCGAATTTTTACATACATACGCAATATACACGTGCGGTTTACTGTTCACGGAAATTCATAGCGATAGTGAAAAGTATGATACCGGTCAAAAATGACCGGTCCTAAAATAAACCTATCAACAAGTCCTTTTCGCCATCGAACCCATCTTACCCAAAAGTCCATCGTGTGTTATGAACTAGCAAGAGCCAATATCAGCTAGAAGAATTACTTGCACGAGAAACTTGGACACTGCTCGTAATCACCTCTAAGGTAGACACTTAAGCAGAGCCGTCCTTCAATGTTACTACTGCGCTCAGCTCTGCCTCGTGATGCCGAGCAACTCAGCTGTGTGTATTTCACATTGCAGTATTCACTCGACATCGAGAGTGCGGCAATCGAACGAAAAAAACAAGATGCACGCCGGAATTTGTTGCAGCCGAAAAGTCTGCTCTCGCTCTCGTCGCAGCAGCGGCGTTAACGCAACAACAACCGCTTCTTGGGATGGTCGAAATGCAAGATAGCGCAAGAACGACGAGCAGCGCAAAGGGGAGGGGCGGTAGAGATCTTTGCAGACCTCCACAGCGGATCGTTGGGATGAATAGACGCATTTCGTACATTTCGGCTCATCCCACAGCGAACGAAAAACGCAGACGAAACAGCGAACCCTCTCAATGCGAAAACCGGAGCTGTTCAACAGAGGACGATTCGGAACAAATCTGCGGGCAACAGACGGCAGAACGCCACCTGGCGAGCGGCCCCCGAACTAACGTCGCTCTCGTCATCGGCACAATTCAGAAGCTGGTGGACGAGATAGAATGCTCTATGCAGCGAAACAGCACGTCCTGCGCGTGGACTCGCGTAGGCTGTTGTTGAAGCCTCTTTTACAGTAGAGCTGACAGCTCCCGCTGCTAAGACTATTAGCAGTGTTGTAGCTCGTCCGAGCTGTTGTTTTATATACATGAAGCTGCTGCTGCTGTTGTGAGAGTAATACGGCTAGCAGTATAAGGTTCGAACGAATTGTCTCAACCTCGCCAGCGTCAGAGATGCCACGCATCATCAGCAATAGCGAGTGTTATCGCTGGTGCTGCTTTGCATTGTGAGATAGAACATGCTGTCTGACTAATAAAAGAAGCGGGTCAAACGCAGCAGAGACTACTATTACCACATTGTGGGTGAGTTCTCCGCTTTGGATGTCCATCGACGGGCGTCTGGCTCCTACTCATTGGAATAACGAGATGCAAGAAGAGTGCAGCGTCTCTGCAAAGCGTTAGGCTTTGGGGTTCAGTTGGCTTTTGCAAGACCTAGGTATCATAATAATGATATATAGCCACCATCATCACTATAAACAGCATAACAATTACGTAGCGATTGCATCTTGAAACGAATTGTTCATACTTAGTACTGGCTACACCAATGCGAGCGTAAAGGTCGTAAAGTTTTAGAAAAAGCAAACGCACAGTTGATGTTCAAATAGGATATTGTATAATTTGTGGTATTCGACGCCAGATGACGAGAAGAAAGTCCAAAGCGAACCTCGTCTTCATCTTTAAATAAGCGAAGGGTCCATGCTTTATCAATAACTCGCAATACACCAAATGCTGCTTGTTGAAACTGCAGACGCACAAAGTTACTTGTCCGCTGCCCAGGCATCGTTTTCATTAAGATATTTGGGTTCCTATTTGTAGAACGTCGATCAACTATGCGTTCCCACTCTGATCACTGGAGATGACCGAGTTCAGATCTTCGTTTGAAACCATCTGTTATCTTTGAACAAAGCTTTACCGATGGGTCAAAAATACACCCCGAACTTTGCACCTAATCAGTTCAGCGAATCGGGCGACCTTTTATTTTGGTATGTAGTAAAAGCTACTTCGCACGAGTATGGTGGGCGTTTTCACTCAGAGCATCTTGACCATACTTATAATGCGTATTGTACTTCTATCAAATAGAATATGGCCCATCATTTTATCTCACCGGTAGTTCAGTGGACTAGAACTGCATCCGTTCTGATTTATTCCGAAGAGGCAAGCCTCGTTTCATTACGTTAGTTTGAAAAAAAAAACTGGTTTTCCATTTATTGACATCTTTACACTATTAAATCTACATTTATCTCGAAGCTGGCTAGTATGTAGCGTTGGCATGAACAAACTATGTTGTTGCGTCTGATACTAATGCACCACGAATGCGTTAGTTGTGCTTTTATTTCAACATTTACCATATTTACCATTTGGCAGTCGGTTAATTCGATGCCATTTTCTTGTGCCTGGGGCATGTAGAAGCTTTGGAGAACCCACGCCATCGCTGAGATCGAAAATTTTGAACTGAATTCACAACCCAGCTGGCCGCGTCACACTCAGCGCCGTGCAATTCTGCACTAAGTACACAGATCCCCGCAGACACAAACACGCACATGCACACACAGAACTTGATATTCACAGCGTCACCCTTTCCAGTCACTGCTATCGTCCACAATTCAGTTTGCCCCGGATAGGTACTGTCGACGCAATCGAAGATCTTTGCCGTCCGTTGCTCGAGATCCTTCTCACTAACTGGACACCGACTGATTGCCGATATTCGTCCTGCACTACCAGTGACAAAATGTCGGTCGTCGCTAAATCGAACACTCCAAACTTTCTTTATACGCTGACAAGAGAAAACGATGCATTTACGAGAAAGCTGATAATACAACGGTCGTTTCTTGTAAACCACTTTAGCAAAGCAGACTGCAGCCGGCGATAACGAAAAAACAGCACGCACTAACCGAAATCTAAAATTTTCTTTTGCACAAAAAGACGGTTTGCACTGTCGCCAGTAAAACACCGCCGACGCCACAGACCTCTGACGTGACCGTGTCAATCGTCTGGTGAGTCCGTGGCGTCCAGCACCGATTAGCGTGACGATATCAGCTGTGCGGCTTTGCCCACACGTTTCAAAAAAACAAGCGTGAGCTGAATGCTCGACCGGAAGAATGGAACTGGCAGGAATTGAAGGGAAGATACGTCTCACAGCTGATCGTTGAATTGTGCTACCGCTACTGCTGTTGCTGTCGCTGTAGTCTGTAAAGAAAAACAGCGAGATGGAGAGAGCGGCGACCGCAGCGGGGGTAGTACACTGCCGTTGTTGCTCCTACTGGAGATGACCCTTTGCCGCTTCTCCTGTTGCTGTGGTGGCGATCTCCTTGAGAGAGACGATCTTAGCAATATGGTGCTAATGATGGTGATTTTGCTTCTCCTTCTCCCTTTGATAGTCGGTGCGTTGGTAGAGGTTCCTGCCGGAGGGAGCCGACACGCAGGAGCACTACAACCTCCAGCCGCGGCCTACGGCTACAACACCAGTGGAAAGACAACAGCCACTCACACCTCAGAGGTGCTCTTGCTGGCCACGGCAGTTTAAATTTAACTCTGACAAACAGCCAATAGCTTTAACAGTTAACAGCAAGCCAGCAAATAGCTCGTACAGTTCACGCCGAACCGCTGAGCCCGCCGTCAGATCGCAGAGGGTGAGCGAGCTCAAATGCTCTCGGAGTAGCAGCTCCCCCTCGAAAGGAGCCGCAGCAGCGTCGTAGGTAAAGAGCAGTTGTGGCGGTAGCAGTAGCAGCAGCGGCGACACCCGGCTTCCATTCGCCAGTGCTCGTCGTTTGCCACGACCGAATCTAACGCCGGTTAGCAGCAGCAGCACCACCACCACCAGAGTAGACTTCTCTGATCTCTGTGCCGCTCTCCCTCCCCTCTAGAGTTGAGAAGGTCCCCCAACGATTGCGGCACGGTGCAGCGGCAATAACCACTCTCCGACCGCCTCTCACAAATGTCTGACGAATTTCTCCTCTCGACAGCATTCCCCAGGACCTCGCAACTCCAATTCATCTCTGAGGGATAGCTCGATGGCTGGTAGGATGCTTCTGCTGTTCTTATCCGAAATTTGTACTC